TGTTGCTTAACGGCTTGTCTATCGTCCCTCCTCTTAATTATCATTGAGATTCTATTTGTGGTTATGCTTATAGTTTTTAGATGCCGTATCAACTACCACCAACTTACTCCTTTACGGGCCTAATGTTTCTCTCCTCTTTATTGTTATCTGTCATCGTTGAGTTTTAGATGGACTATTTTTTAAAAAATTTGAAAATTCCATATTTTTCATTCCGATATATTCTTATTTGTAGAGTGTATTCCTACTTGAACTCTTAGAATTATTTTTCTATTTTTGAAATTTATTTTATTTTTTATTTTGAATTTTAAAGATTCATTTTTTAATTTCTAGAAGTCCCGCCAACCGCCGCCGGCTCCACACCACTATACTCCTCTGTGGCCTACCTGTTGTCTCCCCTATTTATTATCATTGAGATTTTAAAAATAAAACATGATTGTTATTGCGATTTATTTTTTACTTTACAAAAGTTTCGCCAATCGTCGTGACTATGCTGCTTAACGTCATGTCTGTCGTTCTACCTCTTAATCGTGCTTGGGGGGTTCTATTTGTGGTTTTGTTTATAATTTTTAGATGTCCCATCAATCGCTCACCACCTTACTGTTTTACGGGCCTATTACTTGTCCCTTCTTTATTGTTATTTCATTATTTGTCATCGTTGAGTTCTAGGTTGATTAATTTTTTGAAAATTTTTTATTTTTTATTTTGATATTCTTTTATTTATAAAGTGTATTCCTACTTGAACACTTATAATTATTTTTGTATTTTCGAAATTTATTTTATGTTTTATTTTAAATTTTAATTATTCTCGTATTCAGTTATATAATGACTCTTCTTCAGATATTAATTATTTTTTAATTCCGAATTTCAGTTATTTTTAAATTATATTTCTACTTAACTCTCTTTTTCTCTTTTCTAATTTCAGAATTTATTTTATTTTTAATTTCGAATTTTAATTAATCTCGTATTTGATTCTATATGGACTGTTCTTCCGATATTACTTATTTTGAATTCCGAATTTAAGATATTTCTAAATTGTATTCTACTTGAACTCTTCTTTTCTTTTTCTCCAATTAATGTGGAAATTTCTAGCCTCCACAGTGAACGTGGTGCCTCCTTTCAAGACTGTTTTTAATAATATAATAGATATATTACAATTTATGGAATGTTAATTAAGACATAGTAAAGCTAAACTAAAACATAACTACCGATAGAATATGTTGTCCAACACAAAGAGTGATGGACATTCTATCAGTAGTACGGGGCAGATTGAAAGCTCATCTAAGTCTCTTTTTTCGGATTAAGATGTACCTTTTACATTGGTCTTTTTACATCGGTTTTTGTTAGCACACATTGTAAAATGATAAAAGGTAAGTTTCGTATGAAAACTTTCTATATATATAAGTTGCTCTAAAATCATTTATACCCATTTTCTAGTTTAAGATGATGAAAACTCAATTAATTATATATTAATAGTTTTTTTTTCATTTTACGTACTTTATGTTCATCCGTTGCAGGTTCAAACGGGGCTCTGTATACGATGAAGTAAAAGACCACTTCACATTATTTCATAACGGAAAAAAGAAACACTATGTATGAACGTGTGGGGATGAAACATTTATGTTTGTCAAGCTGTTGTACCATCCATAGACAAATAATCACGTACGAATAATCCGTACATGCCTATACTCTATTATTCCGAAATACGTTAAATTCACATCGATCCGTATCTTGTGGACAAGTCATCATCTAATACAACTCTTCAAGTCTTAACGCTCTTCTTTTCCCCAAGACTTACTAATGTATAACCATACGCTGATTTCTAACGCGGAAAGTATACAACCCAATCGTACTCATTTGAATAATTAATAGCAGTCTTCCACAAAATCTCAAATGTGAAACTATTATTGTGAATTTCAAAGTCAACCGAAAGAGTTAACCTATCTTTATGATATGTGACTAACCTAATTATACATTAATTATACATGTGATGGGGGACTCTTTCTCAACCTTATTTTTTCTCTCCCGTGGGTGAAAAGCGAACAACAGACTCCTCCTTAATTTCTCCTTCGCCGGAACCCCTCTCCCCTCCATCTCCGGTGGCTACTATGATCGCCAGTGAGGGGAGGGAGGAGGAGGGGGGGGGGTCCGGGGAGTTTCCCGTTATATATTGAGTTTATCTCATTCTGGGTTTCTTTTTTTTCCCTTTTGTGTACAGCTCAAAGAAGATATCAACACCCATCTTCTTACTAATGAACTTTCTCGTTTTACGTGTGTTGAAAATTACATAGAGATCGTTTTAAGAGCAACTCAATCTCTTTCTTTGAGAGATGTCCAAATCACTCATGTAATCTGTATGTGAACTCCTATATATATTGAATAAATACATGAGTTCTCAGAAAAAAAACACTTAAATATTTGTATGGCTGCAACGAGTAAACGTTATACGTACACAAGTAGCGTCATAGTACTATATATAGATGTATTGATTACCTTGAAAATATGCTTTCATTAATTCAGCCACTCTTGTTGATATTCTAGTACCTGAAATGAAGTGACCAAACGGAAAGATGGTTAGCAAATTAAAGGTGCCATCAGAAATCAGTACCTAACTAACCCGTCGAAGTTAAGGACTCAAACATGGCAGGTACACACACATGTATTCTCTCAATTGTCATTCAGATCAGAAACTTTTGACCGGTAGATTATCTCCACAAGACCACAAACTTGTGAGCTGAAACGAAGCTTAATTCTTTCGGTGTGAGAGGAATATAGTCACTCTCAAGGGCCATTTATTGATTAAGATATATATTTTATCTTAGTATTCATTAGCACGTATTTTAACTACTAAATAGTGTATTATTTCGAGTGAAAGTTTTTCATATACTATAAGATATTTTAAAACATCAGATTAATTTATTTTTCAAATCTAAACTAATTAATTAAAAACCCAATTAATCATGTATAAAAATGGTCTTCTCCTTTTTTTTTGTGCCCGCACTTCATCGAACGGGACCACAATTTCATGACATTTTTCAACCAAAGTTTGCATCACTTGGAAAACGTAATGTTCTAGAGTAACTTTATAACCATGCAAAGGAGATAGAGACAAGGTAACAAGTAATTAAGTGAAACCTGAAAAATTCCGGGACACTTCACCTCGATCGATCACATGGTGGTCTGGGACGACGATGCACTCCGACCGACCAACCACCGTGACATCACCGGTGAAGACTCGGCGAGGAAGAAGCTGCAAGGCGGGCGCGCGGCAGATAGCGCGGGAACGCGGGCGTCCGTACACCGGAGGAACCAGACGCTGCGATGACGTGTACGCGTTTGACTCACCCCCTCCCTTTGACTCTTCCGCAAAGCGCCGCCCCTGCACTTGCACTGCACGCGCGTGTAGCCCTCCGCCAGCTGGGCCCACCACGTCGTCTCTATCAATTTTCCCTTAAAAGTGGATGTTGGCTGATCATTTATTTGATCTTTTAACATAGAAAGAACTACTTAGAGAAGTCTAATAGTACAGCCCACTACTAACTCCAATTCATCTATAGTCAATCTAATTTACGATAGTTGCTTACTAAACTATTAATATATGGTCCCACCTATCATACACACAGTGTGTCTTGGAGTCCATGCTGCAGCTGGCTACAGATCTGTAGCCCGGTGCTCTTCTCACTCATCGTTTATCTTATTAAAATATGTTTATAGCTGACTAATAGCCTGCTATTGTACCTGCTCTTAGCTCTGCTTTCTACTCCTTCCGTCCCATAATACAGTATATTTTGGGTGGATGTAGTACAAAATCCCTTATATCATAGTAAGTTTTGGACATTTACAAGGTCTCCAATGCACATATTTTATTATTCTTTTCCTAACTATATCTATAGAAACTATTAAGAATATAACGGTATGAAATTGTTTTTTATGACAAAACTACCAATTTCATTTTCTTTTTCACGTGAAATCCCAATATTTTTATTAATATACCCCCTAATATTTTGGAGTTGAACTATACCCCCTCCATAAAAAAAATAGTTAACTCTAGCTATGAATCTGGACGCATCCGTGTCTAAGTTCGTAGTTAGGATTGAATTTTTTTGGGACAGAGTAATACAAATTAATAGATAGCACACGAAAACAAATATATTGAGAACATGCATAGCTCGACTGGTAGGGAGCTGCTATGAACAATGCGCTGGACTGAGTTAATTTGAATCCAGCTTTTCCCACCATTTTCTTCTCTATAAATAATGGAACTCCAACACATATTTCATTCAAAATAGGCAAAATATTGTGTGGCTAGTATATTTGAATCGATTGTGCTACCGTGGATACGAAAGTTGTGAGAACAAAAATTTAGCACACGAAAAATCTACCTATTGTCATGGTCGGTGTGTGCTGCAGCCAAAGGAGATGCTAAATGCCACCATGGTACTATAGTGTTTTTTTTTTTTGCGGGGACCATGGTACTATAGTTAGCTCAACTAAACAGGACTAAACTACAGGAGCAGACGTTGCATGGACAATTTTTACCGAATATATTCTCGGTTGCTTACTTGCTCGTAGATTTGTAGCAGAGTGGACAACTAGCTAGTCAGACAGCCAACACGGCAGTAAAATACTTAATTTTGTACTGATAGTAATCATTTGCATTCTATTAGCTGTAAAATAACATGAAGATACTGAAGCTAGCATATGGCTATACTATTGACCAGACCAAACTTCACAAAAGAGAAATCACGAATAGCTGCCAAAAATGAACACAAGATCTTCAAATAAGACGCGAATAAGATCTTCAAATAAGCAAACTACAGTGACTACTCTGCACTGGCAGTTTGGCAAGTACTCCACTAACACAAATTTTGCAGCCAAAAAGAAAAAAATAAAAGCAAAAAAAAAAGAACAGAAAAGTAAACCCGGAGAAGGCGCTGACCACACGCGGCGCCAACTCCTCCACCTCCGCCTATATATTCTCCCCTCACTCCCCCGCCATTTCCACAAACACTCGAGCTCACACCTGCTCGATCAAAATCCTCCAACAACTCGATCCATTCGCAGTAGCTGCGAGCTCTGAGCGGCGGCGAGGTGTCCGACATGGCGTCGGGGCAGAAGGTGGTGAAGCCGATGGAGGTGTCGGTGGAGGCCGGGAACGCCGGGGAGGCGGCGTGGCTGGACGACGACGGGCGGGCGCGGCGGACGGGCACGTTCTGGACGGCGAGCGCGCACATCATCACCGCCGTCATCGGCTCCGGCGTGCTGTCGCTGGCGTGGGCGATCGCGCAGCTGGGCTGGGTGGCCGGTCCCGCCGTGATGCTCCTCTTCGCCTTCGTCATCTACTACACCTCCACCCTCCTCGCCGAGTGCTACCGCACCGGCGACCCGGCCACCGGCAAGCGAAACTACACCTACATGGACGCCGTGCGCGCCAACCTCGGCGGCGCCAAGGTCACCTTCTGCGGCGTCATCCAGTACGCCAACCTCGTCGGCGTCGCCATCGGCTACACCATCGCGTCGTCCATCAGCATGCGCGCCATCAGGAGGGCCGGCTGCTTCCACCACAACGGCCATGGTGACCCGTGCCGCAGCTCCAGCAACCCTTACATGATCCTCTTCGGCGTCGTGCAGATCGTCTTCTCGCAGATCCCGGACTTCGACCAGATTTGGTGGCTGTCCATCGTCGCCGCCGTCATGTCCTTCACCTACTCCGGCATCGGCCTCTCCCTCGGCATCGTCCAGACAATCTGTACGTCCATTAATTCTTCTGTCACATACAGATAATCTAGTTCTTTAATTTGTCTTTGCTGCTCGAGATGCATATGCTGACCGTGATGAGCTGTGAATTTGCAGCCAATGGCGGGATCCAGGGCAGCCTCACCGGAATCAGCATCGGCGTCGGCGTCAGCTCAACGCAGAAGGTGTGGCGCAGCCTGCAGGCATTCGGCGACATCGCCTTCGCATACTCCTTCTCCAACATCCTCATCGAGATCCAAGTGAGTGAGACTCACTACAAAGTTAATTTGCTCTGTTTGAACGAACAAGGTTAATTTGCTCATCGATCGCTGCTTGCTCTGTTTTGTTTTGTTGTTCAGGACACGATCAAGGCGCCGCCGCCGTCGGAGGCGAAGGTGATGAAGAGCGCGACGAGGCTGAGCGTGGCGACGACCACGGTGTTCTACATGCTGTGCGGGTGCATGGGCTACGCGGCGTTCGGCGACGCGGCGCCCGACAACCTCCTCACGGGCTTCGGCTTCTACGAGCCCTTCTGGCTGCTCGACGTCGCCAACGTCGCCATCGTCGTGCACCTCGTCGGCGCCTACCAGGTGTTCGTCCAGCCAATCTTCGCCTTCGTCGAGCGCTGGGCCTCCCGCCGGTGGCCGGACAGCGCGTTCATCGCCAAGGAGCTCCGCGTGGGGCCCTTCGCGCTCAGCCTCTTCCGCCTGACGTGGCGCTCGGCGTTCGTCTGCCTCACCACAGTCGTCGCCATGCTCCTCCCCTTCTTCGGCAACGTGGTGGGTCTCCTCGGCGCCGTCTCCTTCTGGCCGCTCACCGTCTACTTCCCCGTCGAGATGTACATCGCGCAGCGCGGCGTGCCACGTGGCAGCGCGAGGTGGGTCTCGCTCAAGACGCTCAGCGCGTGCTGCCTCGTCGTCTCCATCGCCGCCGCTGCGGGCTCCATTGCTGACGTCATCGACGCTCTCAAGGTGTACAGACCGTTCAGCGGATGATTGGAACGTGAGGGGCACGTGTGCTCGTTAAATTATTTCTTACTATCTCTGTACCAAAATATAGCAAACTAGTATAAATAGGACGAAATTCGGGTAGTTCTCAGGTACGAATTCATCGTACTAGGAAATATCTCACATTGTATTAAGTTGCTATATTTTGGGTCAGCATTAGTACAATATTACACAAAGAGGAAAAAAAAGGAAGAAATGTAACATGTGGCGTTTTTCATTGGAGACCTTGAAAAATCTTGTAATTGCAGTAAACAGATTCCCTGCCGTTGTGATCATTGCATTCCTTTTGCGAAAAAAAAGGGATGCAAATAGATGGCTGGAGGTGCTGTTTCTAATGTCAAAAGCAGTTGTATGGGGGGTATTATGATAATATAATTCTTTTTTCAAATGTAATCTTAATGTAGTTTTTACTGTACAACCTTTTGTGCGTACGGAGAAAAAATCAAGTAAAATATGAAGAGGCCTAGAGCGAAAACATACATGTCCTTGTATTTGAATGTCTCCACTATCAAGCATGCCACTCTCGGATGCAAATCCTCTGCATTAATGTTCTGGACCCATACGTCAGTGTCTATTATTACATTAATAATACTATAGACAATCCCCACCGGCGGCCACTCTTACCTCTATAGTTTTGATAATTGCAAAAGGCACAACCTTTTATGCCTTCACATTGCAAACACACTGTACAAGAGTAGAGCTTGTTGTTAAAGCTCCCAACAATCCTCTCCATCCAAATAAGCCCCTTCGTACAAATTTTGAGTAATGGAAAGGACCGGACAGAGAAATCTACTTTTCAAAGCAATATCGATGTTCCAAACAAACAAACTCTTTTGGTAGAATTTTTAGCATGACAGAAAAACTACTACTTGTGAAATTCTCCTTACCCTAAAGTTAGATGAACCCCATGCACTATTCACCCACAATCCAAATATCTTTGAGATGCCAACAAGAACAGAATCTGTTGAGCTGATTTCGAATTTCACATGACACGATTCGACAACATACAAGTAGTGGGACATCGTCTTAACGATTAAAATGCTTCATCCTATTCCGCAACTTGCATTATTAGTGCCTTCTATCATCGCAAAAAAGATAAAGTATGACAACAAAATCCCAGTGAAAACCAGAGCCCTTCTTCTAAAAAGAGCAAATCATTGAGATGATTCTTTTTTTTTCTTTTGCGAGGAAATCATTGGGGGATTTTGATTTCTCTTGACCATATATGCTACTGGCCTGTCCATGGTGGCACATCAAGCAAAGATGGCTAATAGCATGCCTAGATCTCTGGAACAAATCATTCTGGAAAACCCCATTTGCAGAGGAATATCTCCATCGATCTCTCTCAAAGTGGAGAATCTTAGGTATAGACAGATCGGTGATCATGATAAGCCTCTCTTTACATTTTCTCTCCAATGGAGGAAACGGGTGGTCAGACTAGTAGGACAGACAAATGCAGGTACTAGTCAGGCAAAGCAAGCTCATCTCGACCATTTATGTTGCTTTCTCTTTGGACCCCTCTTTAGGAATTTTCAATTTTATGGAACATGATATTGGAAAGAACGGCTCAGCATAATTTTCGAAATCTTTGCCGATCTATGTTATAGCATAATACATGTGGGTTTGGTTGTCTCCTTCTGAAGTTTCTGAAGTTTGGGTACTAGGAAATTGACAAAATTTACCCAATCATCTGCCGAATTCGGATTCGGCGTTGCGTGTCACCTTTCCTGTGATAGTAAAGTTACGCGTCTATATATTACCTATCATGATTCGATACAAACTTTATAAGATTAAGGATGATATATAGACATGCGTGTGCGCGTGTGTAGCGAGATGGTGGCTAGGACAAGCTTGCACATGCCACACATGCTAGGGTAAAGGGATATCATCGCAATCATAGTGATGGCAACAACAGCATCAATAAAACTCGCACCACTTCTTCTACTACTACTACTTTCACAGAACTTAGATAAGTCAAGGTTCACTTCATTATATTCCTTTACACAAAAAAGTGCACTAGTAAAATTAATTACTAGTACTAAAACATAGGCATCCTAAATTTCTAGTGATCAGATTAAATGGTACACTAGGTTAGCAAGGTTGCTAGCTAAGCTAGAAGAAAGGTATGGTCACTAATCGGTAGTGTGGTACCATTGCATGTGCCGGCAAACAGTGGATAAAAAGTGAGTGATCTCTGTTCTCTCCACTGAGTTGCTTGCCATACAGGAGTGTCTCTTTTTGATTGAACCTTTGGCACTAGCTAGCTAGAATGCAGGAGTGGGGTTTTTGGTTCATATGAAAGTCAACCCCCATTATATATTATCAATTGGTTTGCTCACCTTTCTATCTGTTGTCAACAGTCAACACGCCTGCTTGAGGAAATCATGGGTCAACGGGTAGTCCATTGCTAAGACATATAGAAGTCAAAATAAACCATGCCTATACTTGCCTAGGAGTGTATATGCGTTTTTAGTTCATGGAAATCAAACCCAATTATGTAGGAGTCAAAATCACTGCTGCGAGAGGTAATTTGTAAGGAATGTGGCTCAAATATTTTCGTCACATCAAGCTTATTGTTCTTTTAAGATTATTATTCACTGGATTATTGAATCCGGGTCTTCACTTGACGCTTTAAAAACACGTTTTCTCAAAAACTTAATTTATTTCGTGGCACTTTTAGAACGCTTGTTTCAAATTATTATTTGTTAAGTTTATTTCTTAAAATTTTTAATTTACCTCTATAATCAAATAGATAATTCACACAAAAAAATCTAGTTTAACAGCAGCAATCCTATTAAAATAATTGATACAAATTACCATTAAACCTAGATCCCTCATAAAGAAGTAATATAATGTCAAATATTTAAGCAATAATATAGTATCTATTTATACCTATAATAATTTATTTTTACTTTTAGGAGATCCACGTTAACTAGAATTGGACAAATACTTTGCCGCTTCTTAATTTGCCTCTCACAAAGCATGTATAGTAAAATTCTTTGTCACAGTGGCAAAAGGTTAGTTCCTAGAATCATCTGGCTTCTTTGGTTTTTTTGTGAGAATCATCTGGCTTAATCTAGCTTATAACTATTCGAAGAACAGCATGCACGTAGAATATATTGAGTTCATCATAAGGGAATATTATAAAAAAAAAGTGATGTTTTACAGGTTTGTTGATACTCCCCGTTCTAAAATATAGTTACCCAATTTGGCCATAAATAACGTTCATATAGGCATGTATGATTGAAATTCTCTCCCATCATTCATTAATTCCATTGGAACTTTTAATTACTGAGGAACACAGAACCGAGCTAAGCACCAACCGAAATTCAATCGAGCAAGGTAGCTAGACACTAGCTAGGGAATGCAATTAGGCAATTTACGCGTGGATGCTTTCGAGTTCCACAAGTAACTAAAAGGTTCCAGTTACATGAACAAGCTAGCTAACTAACATGAAGAATCGTCTATTATCACAAAAAAATAATGTACTATTTGGAGCAAAATTAATCGTTTAGCCTACCACCAAAGCTTAATCAATTACTTAGTTAATTTCTTCCTCTTCCCGATCGATCGATCGAAGTGATTGATCCCAATTAATTATGCCATCGGATGACTTTCCTTGCAAAGCTACGTGTACACTGGTGGAGAAACCATCTTTCGTCGGTCGGACTAATTCCACAATAGTCCCGGTTGCAACAAAAACCGGGACTAAAGATGATCTTTAGTCCCGGTTAAAAAGGGTAACGGGCATATTTGATACCAACCGGGACTAAAGATCATCTTTAGTCCCGGTTCAAATGCTGTTAGGGCCTGCTGTCAGGGCCTGTCAGGCCCCCCCGGGATCTTTAGTCCTGGTTAATAACACTGTTATTAACGACTTTAGTCCCGGTTGGTTTTATTAACCGGGACTAAAGATCCCGGCGATCTTTTAGCCCTGGTTCATAACACCAACCGGGAGTAAAGTCCCACCCCTATATATATATATATGTCTTCTTCCTCCTCCAGCCCGAGCAAGCTTCAAAATTTCTTCAAAAAAGAGGGGAGGTCATGCCAAAATTTCTAGTGAATTTATTGTGTTGATTATATATAAATCGGAGGTGCCTAAAAGGTTAGCAACTTCATCCTCCAATGTTTTTTTTTCATATTACATTTGGAGCTATGTTTTGCACACTTTTTTGTCTCCAAAATTTTGTTGTTAGTTGATGAGAGAGAAAATTTGTGTGGAGAAGAAAGAATATATAGAAATTTAGTTTATTTGGTAAATAAGGTTTTATAAAAAAGTTGAGAAGGAAAATATAGTGAAAGTTAATCTTGAATAATACAAAACAAAGTAAAATGAAAAATTAAAATAAGTACAACACATTAATATTAGTTTAAAACTTTATAAATAGTAAATATATAATTATTCGGTGTAATATTTCATAATATTTGTATGAATAATGATATGTCATTATTGTGTGAATGTTGAAAGAGTTTGTAATTATTTTATAGTTATTGTATGACTGTCTTTATTGTACGAATAATTATGTGTGTACGATTTTTTTTCATGTCATGTAGATGGATCGGCAATGGATGTACGCTGACCGGCGGTCCAAAGAGTTTATTGACAGTGTGCATTATTTTTTGAGAGTGGCCGAAGCTAACAGGCAAAAGGGTTTTATTTGTTGTCCATGCAATAAGTGTAAGAATCAGAAGGAGTATTCCGCATCCAGGACTATTCATTTCCACTTGTTTGAGTCGGGGTTCATGCCAAGCTATAATTGTTGGACATCCCACGGAGAGCAAGGTGTTGAAATGGAAGAAGATGAAGTGGAAGACGACAATATTCCGGACTTTGCTCAATACGCTGGATTTGAAGGAAATCAAACGGGCGAGGAGGAAAGGGATGCTGATGGTAACAACATTGCGGATGATCTTGGTCAGATGTTGCAGGACGCCAAGGAGGATTGCGAAAGTGAAAAGGGGGCCCATAAATTGGACAAGATGTTAGAGGACCACAGAACGTCGTTGTACCCAGGTTGCGAGCAGGGGCACAAAAAGTTGGATACCACTCTGGAGTTCTTGCAATGGAAGGAAAAAAATGGTGTTAGTGACAAGGCATTTGGCGATTTATTGAAACTCGTCAAGAACATTCTTCCGGAGGGAAACAAGTTGCCCGAGACAACGTACGAGGCTAAGAAGATAGTGTGCTCTCTAGGACTGGAAGTTCAGAAGATTCACGCATGTCCGAATGATTGTATCCTATATCGCGGTGAGGAGTACGAGAACCTAGAAGCATGCCCTGTTTGCAAAGCGCTACGATACAAGATTAGACGAGATGATCCAGGAGAAGTTGACGGGCAGCTAACGAAGAAGAGAATTCCTGCTAAGGTGATGTGGTATTTCCCT